ACAATCAGGGAATACCTTATTAGGTATCAATTTAACTTCAAGTGACAAAAATGCCACTTCCTGGCTACCAATTCACAACACCTCGATGTCTACCAATTCTATTTATTGGAGAACTATTGGTTCTTTGAAATCAGCTGCAATGGTGAAGGTACAATTGAACACAAACAAACTAGTTCTTGTACAGTCTCTTAATAGAGATATTAGTGATATCATTCACAAAAGAAAAACAGATTGGATAGGAAGCATATCATATGTGTATGTTAAGTGAGTATCATTTTACAGTATTTATGCCACGAGATCTCACGCTTTCTCATACCAATGCAGGGGGTCATATCTCCCGCCATTGTAATAAGCGGTGCATTCAGATAGACTTGCCGGTTTCTCTTTGAGGCAAATTATTATCAGTTTTATTCATAATTGTCAACCAAACACGTCTAGAAAGTTTAATTATGAATAATCTACGCACTATGGGTACTCGGATGCAGAGTAAAAAACGCACGGCTGAGGAGAACGGGACGGAAATCGCGACTACTTCTGTAGTGTTGGAAACTCAACTGCCTAACCGCCCGAAGAGAGGACGTCCCGCGGCTAGAACATCCCGAAATAGGAGAAATCTGGACTATAGTAACCCCGCTAATTGGACTAATGCTAAGTTAAGATTGGAATTGAAAGACATGGGCTTTAATTTACCGACTAATTTAGCCCGGAATTCCTATATACGCATATATGAAATGAATAGACCAAATCATCGTAGTTCGACCATCCAAACATCAACAGCAGACATGGGGCCAGAGGCGGCCGAGATCGACAGTCTGGACGATAACGAGGGAGATACGCAAACAGCCTCAAATGTTCTATCCGGCGATGTTGTAGCAAGTATTCGCCGTGATATTTCTGACTTAAGGCAAACAGTAACCTCTTTAATTAACAATTCCAGTATGGCTACAGGCGTATCGATTTCACCTTCGGCGACATCGGTGCCTGAACAGGAAGAGAGTCAAAGGTCAACAGCCGCAGTGCATTGTAGGGCGAGTGGTCACAACAATATGGCGGACCCTAGGTCAGCGGTGACATCGACGCTGCCAACAAGCCAATTACCTACCATTGACGGTTTTGTAACACAAGGCAACTCTGTAAATGACCCATCAATTAATTCTAACGTCTCATTTGAACGAAGGAAATACGGAATAGCGGCGGAAAGTTTGCCAAGGATCGTTAACGTGTCACCGACAATGAGGGACAACATCATTAAAGGTAGATATGTAAATCTTGCTGCTTTATTAATACCTGCCCAGGAAATGTCCGACAATCGATGTATAATGGATGTTGACGGCAATGAAATAAAAATTAAAGGTAACAATGATCCACGCCTTAATAAATCTTTGACATTATCAGAATTCTGTGTGGCTTTTAACAGATATAAGTCTGTCATGTGTAGTGCTCATCCAGAACGTCGGGAAGAACTGGATGAATATCAAGCAGACATTGTGGACATACATAATAGTTGGGGTTCAAGATTTTATGACTATCACGTGCAATTTGCAATGACTGCTGCCACTTGGCTTCAGCTTGAAAAAATTAAAGTGGACTGGTCTGTAGTAAATCATTCTTTGCTCAATAAGGTTGTTGCAAACCAGAAGGCCGCTGCATGTATTATTTGTAGCAGCACACTGCACATGCAAGACTTCTGCCCTCAAAAGAGAGGTTTTGGGCCACCACGCACCTACCAACAACAGGGATCTACAGACGGGAGAGGGCGCAAGAAGATTTTTCATAATGGAAAGGAAATCTGCAACAATTACAACACAGAAGAGGGATGTAGACGAAACCCATGCGAGTATATGCATGCATGCTCCACATGCAAAGGCGGCCACCCAGGCCGAAGGTGTACCAAATCTAATGCCAATGCCACACCAGGGGCACTTGCCCAGTGACAACAACTCATGGCTTGTACACCAATAAACATTGATAAATTGGAAGAACTTTTATTTGAACATCCAGATAAAACTTTTACATCCCAATTATGCTCAGGTCTAAGGGAGGGTTTTATGACAGGGATTGAAAACGTCCCAGCACTTTCATATGAATGTACCAATAACCTAACAGCTAGGGCAGACCCAGCTTCTGTTAGTAGACTTTTGCAGTCAGAAATTGACAAAGGCTATGTGATAGGACCCTTCGATACACCGCCTTTTTCAGTTTTTCGTATAAGCCCCTTAGGTTTAGCTGAGGGCAAGTATTCGGGAAAGAAACGTCTTATTGTTGATCTTTCAGCCCCCCATGACAAACCAGGAGTTCCAAGCCTTAACGAACTCATAGACAAGGAGGCTTTTTCAATGTCATACATACGTATTGATGATGCTACTATGGAATTGAAAAGAGTGGGTAGCAGTGCATTTATGTGTAAATTTGATATCATGGATGCATTTAAACAAGTTCCACTTCACCCATCGGTCGTGCCCTGGCATGGGGTTAAATGGGAAGGAAAGTATTATTTCTTTGTACGACTAGTATTTGGTTGCAGGTCAAGTCCAAAATTGTTTGACGCACTTTCCCAAGCTATTTGTTGGATTGCGGAACACAAATATGGAATCAAATTTATTTTGCATCTTTTAGATGATTTTTTTACTGTAGATGATGGAGAATTTAGTGCTTTGCGTACAATGTCAATCATGACATTGATTTTTAATACTTTACGAATTCCTTTGGCGAAACATAAAACACTGGGTCCTGTCCAGGAATTGGAGTATTTAGGTATAATGCTTAACTCAAAAGAATTGATGGCCTTTCTACCAACAGACAAGAGAATCAGGATTTCACAAAAATTATCTGAAGTGTTAGCAAAGAAAAGTGTTACCAAACAAGTCTTGTTATCTTTGTTAGGTCATCTGAGTTTTGCTGGAAGAGTAGTCCTGCCAGGTAGATCTTTTGTGTCTCATCTACTGCAGTTAGCCTCCACAGTACCAAAACTTCATTACCATGTAGCTATTAATAGTGACTGTCGCATGGAGCTAGCTATGTGGGATAGTTTCTTGCAATCATGGAATGGAGTTCATCTTTTCCTCAACAGTGAGGTCACCAGTGCTGCAGACTTGCAGATTTACACAGACGCTTCATCAAAGGTTGGGTTTGGGGGATATTTTAGAGGCGAATGGTTTAGCGACTGTTGGCCTGCAGAACTTAACATGAATAACCGGAGTGATCTATCTATGGCCCTTTTAGAATTATACCCTATTGTGGTTGCAGCTATGTTATGGGGAGGGAAATGGTCTCAAAAGCGCATCAGGTTTAATTGTGACAATGAGGCTACGGTACATATCATTAACAAAGGTAGAGCCTCTTCGAAGTGCCAAACTATAAATAAGTTAATGAGACGACTCACCTTGTTGGCAATGCGCTATAATTTTATAATTCTTGCACGCTTTCTCCCAGGGGTTCATAACGGGATAGCTGATTCATTATCACGTTTCCATTTCCAGAAGTTCAGGCAGTTGGCTCCAGCCGCACAGCAGCTCAGAACGCAGTGTCCACTATATTGCGAAGTGACCCAGATCTAGCTGAGGAAGTGGAGGTACTATATAGTGCAGCGGTAGCCAAGAAAACCAAGCAGGCTTACAGTACCGCACTCTCACAGTTTTTAACCTTTGCTAGTGTGCACAATGTGCAATGCTCTATATCTAACCTACCTCCCATTTCAGAGAGCCTGTTGATTTTATTTGTAACTTACTGTAGCAGCAGTTTGCAGTTAAAGGGGTCCACAATTAGGTTATACTTAGCGGGCATCAGGTATGCATATCTAAAGGCCGGCTTTTCAAACCCCATGAAGTCGGCCTGTGGGGCCCCGTTAGAAAGGTTAAATTTGGTATTAAAGGGGGCTGACACGCAAAATGGGCCAACACCGACAGCCCCGTCTCCCTTTTACTGCAAACATTGTTGCAAAAATGTGTTCAGCTCTAAGCAAAGGAATATTCACACCTTTTACAGATGTTTTGCTTCAAGCGGTAGTCTCAGTGGCATTTATTGGTTTTTTGAGGTGTGGTGAGTTCACCACAGAGAACGCACAATTTGACAAAAATGTCAATTTATGTCTTGAGGATGTAAGCTTTTGTAGTTCGGATAAAGTTCTTCTGAAGTTAAAAACATCAAAAACAGATCCGTTACGGAAAGGGACAGTCCTCACACTTTTTAAGAATAACCGTTTTTGTCCTGTTACTGCATTGCAGCAGTATATTGCTGCCCGTAAGCGTAGCAATTACCATAACGGACCAAGTGACCCTCTGTTTATTTCAGAAGATGGTCTACCTTTAACACGCGCATGCTTTCTGCATTTACTACGCTCCTTACTAAACACAATAGGGGTAGACGCCTCTAAGTACTCGGGTCGCTCTTTCCGCATTGGTGCAGCCTCGTCAGCAGCACATGCGGGAATTCAGGACCATATGATTAAAACTCTAGGTCGCTGGACCTCAGATACCTACAACAGGTATATCAGAGTAGCAGATGACTCCATCTACGGAGCACAATCCGCCTTAGCTTATAGCATGTAATCCGGGTATTGGGTTTGACTTTCTACCTCATTTTGTTTCTTTTAATTTATATTTTTATTGTAATACATCAGTTATCTATATTACTTTGTTTATTGACTTAAGTTAAATAATATACTACCGTACTTCATTTCTATTTATATCTTGGGTGTCATTCCACAATTTCATTTAGTTCCATTTTGGGTACTTCGCTATTGCTATATGCTCATATACCCCCAAGATATCTCCAGACATAATTTTTCTTTCAAGTATGTATTTTAATAACTTTTCAGTAACCTTGTCATCATTACTGGGTAGTTGCCAAGCTGAAACTACCTATAATCAATTAAATAACTTCACGCGGTATCAACATCGCAATAAACAACCACATCGCTCTAGATGTTTCAAACAGTCGCAGTCACGCTGCCTCTGTCATCTCATTACTAACTTCACAGCAGCACAGCCTGCTATAACTTTTATACGTTCTTTGTACTAACTCTGTTGTTTTGAATTTATTCCTAATCAGTCATGTATTTTTCTATCAGTCGTGTATTTTTCTATATCTTTGCAGTCGCATTATGGGGGCCGCACCAGGACCATAGGTTAATATTGTATTAGCAAACAGCTCTGTGGTTTTGGTCGAGCCCCCCTTTTTTTTGCCAATAAATAAGCTTTAACGTATATGAGATCTCGTGTCATAAATGTATGTTAAGTGAGTATCATTTTACAGTATTTATGCCACGAGATCTCACGCTTTCTCATACCAATGCAGGGGGTCATATCTCCCGCCATTGTAATAAGCGGTGCATTCAGATAGACTTGCCGGTTTCTCTTTGAGGCAAACCCACCACCAACCCCGTTCACCACCGGTACCTCACTAGTAGGATGCGCTCATGTGGGGGGGGGGGGGTACTTCGCTATTGCTATATGCTCATATACCCCCAAGATATCTCCAGACATAATTTTTCTTTCAAGTATGTATTTTAATAACTTTTCAGTAACCTTGTCATCATTACTGGGTAGTTGCCAAGCTGAAACTACCTATAATCAATTAAATAACTTCACGCGGTATCAACATCGCAATAAACAACCACATCGCTCTAGATGTTTCAAACAGTCGCAGTCACGCTGCCTCTGTCATCTCATTACTAACTTCACAGCAGCACAGCCTGCTATAACTTTTATACGTTCTTTGTACTAACTCTGTTGTTTTGAATTTATTCCTAATCAGTCGTGTATTTTTCTATCAGTCGTGTATTTTTTCTATATCTTTGCAGTCGCATTATGGGGGCCGCACCAGGACCATAGGTTAATATTGTATTAGCAAACAGCTCTGTGGTTTTGGTCGAGCCCCCCTTTTTTTGCCAATAAATAAGCTTTAACGTATATGAGATCTCGTGTCATAAATTTCATGTTAATACTGTGAAATACTGGAATTAATATTCGCTAAAAAGACTTTTTGGGTGTTTTGTATGGATTTTATTTTCACTGATTTTTGATGATTTAAATGTAAAATACAGGGAAAAAAATATATATATGTAAAAAATTATATTCGCTTGATTTTATTTTCACTGAATCATTCTTTCAGCAAAAAAGTGAAAATTTATTCCAAGTGAAAATAAAGTATTTTACAGTATCTCTGAATTCTTTCAAATTTTACTGTACATTTATGTTAATTTCTTCTTACTAATTGGTTATCTATTCGTTTGGTGTGTCTGTTTTTAAATCGCTTTGTGAACTTCCTTCTCATGATATTTTATCTCTTGACATGTTACTGATATGCAAATAACTACAATTTACATCAAACAACATAAATAACCCACATACCAGTATTTATTTGCATGACTTTTCATTTTTGTTTTGGATCAGTCGATGTCTACATACCGTTGATATCACAACATTTGTGATTATTCTAAGCCTACGTCATGAGAAACGTTGTGTTGGTCAATCAGGTAAACTTCATTCTTCAACCTATCTAGCCCTGCATCATATGTGCTAATCAGCGCATCAATTACTTAGTAATTGTCTGACAATTTAACTCAAGTCAGTCAGATGAAATCCAGTTGAGATGTGGCAGACTGTAGGAGTGGGCATTTCGTTGTATGATAGACTTTACTACCCGGTAGTGAGAATTGAAAATACAACGTAGAATATACCTTATGTGTTGAGAACTCGGGAACACCTTAGTAGACTATACATGTACCATCTATGCTGAAAATTAATAAGCCCCTTGACTGTATCTTAATATGCCTACTTAAATTAGAAAAAAGTAATTGTTGTTGTTAACTCAAAACTATATTTTATTTGAAAATAAAATGATGAATTTAGTGTTAATTTTTTAGGGGATTCACAGTGTCAGGGTGACCCTAATGACATGTTTTGTTGGTTGATATGTTTGTGCCTGCACATTTTTTAGCTGCTCTTAGTTTTGACTGGTGTTGTGTGAAAAAATACAGAATACAGAATTGCAATTTATTTATGTAATTCAAATATAAACAGTTGATTTAGTGTCAATTTTATCCTGAATATATCTATTTTTAATTCACAAGTATGAAAACCTGATGACAATAATTTTGTTAACTGTTACAATAGCCACAGCTTGCAGTCATATCTGGATTGGATACCACTATTACTGCTATTTTGTTCATTTTTGGTTAAAACTTATTTTTCATTTTAATGGTTTCACATTTGTTTTTTAGATGCTTAAGTTATTTTCTGACTCAGATTTCTTAATGTATGTTAAGTGAGTATCATTTTACAGTATTTATGCCACGAGATCTCACGCTTTCTCATACCAATGCAGGGGGTCATATCTCCCGCCATTGTCTTAAGCGGTGCATTCAGATAGACTTGCCGGTTTCTCTTTGAGGCAAATATTATCAGTTTTATTTCATAATTGTCAATCAAACACGTCTAGAAAGTTTAATTATGAATAATCTACGCACTATGGGTACTCGGATGCAGAGTAGAAAACGCACGGCTGAGGAGAACGGGACGGAAATCGCGACTACTTCTGTAGTGTTGGAAACTCAACTGCCTAACCGCCCGAAGAGAGGACGTCCCGCGGCTAGTACATCCCGAAATAGGAGAAATCTGGACTATAGTAACCCCGCTAATTGGACTAATGCTAAGTTAAGATTGGAATTGAAAGACATGGGCTTTAATTTACCGACTAATTTAGCCCGGAATTCCTATATACGCATATATGAAATGAATAGACCAAATCATCGTAGTTCGACCATCCAAACGTCAACAGCAGACATGGGGCCAGAGGCGGCCGAGATCGACAGTCTGGACGATAACGAGGGAGATACGCAAACAGCCTCAAATGTTCTATCCGGCGATGTTGTAGCAAGTATTCGCCGTGATATTTCTGACTTAAGGCAAACAGTAACCTCTTTAATTAACAATTCCAGTATGGCTACAGGCGTATCGATTTCACCTTCGGCGACATCGGTGCCTGAACAGGAAGAGAGTCAAAGGTCAACAGCCGCAGTGCATTGTAGGGCGAGTGGTCACAACAATATGGCGGACCCTAGGTCAGCGGTGACATCGACGCTGCTGACAACAAGCCAATTACCTACCATTGACGGTTTTGTAACACAAGGCAACTCTGTAAATGACCCATCAATTAATTCTAACGTCTCATTTGAACGAAGGAAATACGGAATAGCGGCGGAAAGTTTGCCAAGGATCGTTAACGTGTCACCGACAATGAGGGACAACATCATTAAAGGTAGATATGTAAATCTTGCTGCTTTATTAATACCTGCCCAGGAAATGTCCGACAATCGATGTATAATGGATGTTGACGGCAATGAAATAAAAATTAAAGGTAACAATGATCCACGCCTTAATAAATCTTTGACATTATCAGAATTCTGTGTGGCTTTTAACAGATATAAGTCTGTCATGTGTAGTGCTCATCCAGAACGTCGGGAAGAACTGGATGAATATCAAGCAGACATTGTGGACATACATAATAGTTGGGGTTCAAGATTTTATGACTATCACGTGCAATTTGCAATGACTGCTGCCACTTGGCTTCAGCTTGAAAAAATTAAAGTGGACTGGTCTGTAGTAAATCATTCTTTGCTCAATAAGGTTGTTGCAAACCAGAAGGCCGCTGCATGTATTATTTGTAGCAGCACACTGCACATGCAAGACTTCTGCCCTCAAAAGAGAGGTTTTGGGCCACCACGCACCTACCAACAACAGGGATCTACAGACGGGAGAGGGCGCAAGAGGATTTTTTATAATGGAAAGGAAATCTGCAACAATTACAACACAGAAGAGGGATGTAGACGAAACCCATGCGAGTATATGCATGCATGCTCCACATGCAAAGGCGGCCACCCAGGCCGAAGGTGTACCAAATCTAATGCCAATGCCACACCAGTGGCACTTGCCCAGTGACAACAACTCATGGCTTGTACACCAATAAACATTGATAAATTGGAAGAACTTTTATTTGAACATCCAGATAAAACTTTTACATCCCAATTATGCTCAGGTCTAAGGGAGGGTTTTATGACAGGGATTGAAAATGTCCCAGCGCTTTCATATGAATGTACCAATAACCTAACAGCTAGGGCAGACCCAGCTTCTGTTAGTAGACTTTTGCAGTCAGAAATTGACAAAGGCTATGTGATAGGACCCTTCGATACACCGCCTTTTTCAGTTTTTCGTATAAGCCCCTTAGGTTTAGCTGAGGGCAAGTATTCGGGAAAGAAACGTCTTATTGTTGATCTTTCAGCCCCCCATGACAAACCAGGAGTTCCAAGCCTTAACGAACTCATAGACAAGGAGGCTTTTTCAATGTCATACATACGTATTGATGATGCTACTGTGGAATTGAAAAGAGTGGGTAGCAGTGCATTTATGTGTAAATTTGATATCATGGATGCATTTAAACAAGTTCCACTTCACCCATCGGTCGTGCCCTGGCATGGGGTAACCTTGTTGGCAATGCGCTATAATTTTATAATTCTTGCACGCTTTCTCCCAGGGGTTCATAACGGGAT